AATGTATATTAAAGCAATCCAGCATTGATTGGATATAAAATATTTTTGTTTTGTTTGGATTTATTGAAAAAATAAGTTGATTTTTAAAAAAAAAAAGTTAAATAAGTTGAAATTTGGGTGAGATTTTGATTTTGTATTTAAATAATATTTAAAATATAATAACTAAAGTTGATATGATATATGATGATATTTTTAATTGTATTGATAATATTGAGAGAAATTAAGATGAATTAAAATTAAATTGGATTTTTATTAATTAAAAATATCATAAACTTGATAAATCAGATAGTCCTATATAAAAGATCAGTAATGCTCTCCTACTCACGATAAACATATGTTAATATGTCTACTGTTTATGTGGCACGCACACATTGGGGATGTATTTTTCTAACATACTAATGCATACATGACACATTAACGGTGAACATATTAACATATGTCTACCCAACATTAATGTATAAAAGATCTATACAACGTGGAAGGAAGAACTTAATAAGAATATTCTGGCATATGCCCCACAAAGAGTAGCACATTTATAACAGAATTATAGTTCGTCTATAATTATATTTACATAATAACACTAAAAAATCCACAATTTTATTTAAATCACGAATTTAATCCCAAAAAAAATTAAAATAAAATAAGGTTAAAAGATAAAATCGGAGAAAAACATGGGAAAAATTTGACCGGCGCCAAATGATGAATCGAAAAAGAAGGGAATATACCTGCGAAGATGCCATATGGCCAACACCATATATATATATATAATATAAATCTCCCTTAATATTAATTATTAATCACAAACCTCTCTCTCTAATTTTTCTTCAATTCCTTTCCTCGTCTGTCTGAGAAAAGCAAGCAGGTTGGTCATCTGTTCAACTTATTTTGTATTTTGTTTTTCTTGAATAATAATAAATTGTATGACATAATTAACCATGTTTCTACCAATTCCAATTCCTCTGTTTTTGTTTGCTTAGGTTGTTTTTGTTTGCTTATGTTATATATAAATATATATATAATTCTAGATATCTCCTTAACATCTAATGTAAAGTTGTTTCTTAATTCCACAATTTTTTCTCCCTTTTCCAGACAGAGAGAGAGAGAGAGAGGAGGCCGCTGATCGATTTTCGAAGCAACGAAAAATGGCGTCGGCCGAAAACAACAACCTAAAGGTCATAAACGCCCTCGACGTGGCGAAAACCCAATGGTACCACTTCACGGCCATCATCATCGCCGGTATGGGCTTCTTCACCGACGCTTACGACCTTTTCTGCATCTCCCTCGTCACCAAAATGCTCGGTCGAATCTACTACCACGTCCCGGGCTCCCCCAAACCCGGCTCCCTCCCACCGAACGTCTCCGCCGCAGTTAACGGTGTCGCCCTC